GCATTGTAATTAAATGAAGATGGTGAGCCTGATTCTCCTTTCATTTACACCATCATAAAACAGGAGTAATACTATTGCTGGCAGGAGCTACTGCTCTATAAAATGTGTGTGATAAGAAAATTGGACACTTTAAACTTATTCTTAAGATTTCAGAACAAAAATAGAAACATTTGGTCAAACTTTAATTTAGTTGTTTTTATTTAAATTTTACTTGTTTATTTTTTTTCATTTTAGTTTCATTTTAGCTCAATTCTTGGGACCAAGTTTGGAAGGACTGTCAGGTAGCAGAACTGGCTTCTAGCATGGTTTGCCTATTGGCCATGATGAAAATAATGAGGGGATAATGTGGAGCACTGTTGTGCAGATAAACAATCACTGTATGGTCCCTTAAGAAACCCAAATTCTCAAAAAAGCCTGCTATCAGAGTACATGAGAGCAGCCTTTGGGCTTTTCTAATTTATACTGGTTGGCTACGTCTAGACTGGCATGATTTTCCACAAATGTTTTTAACGGAAAAGTTTTCTGTTAAAAGCATTTGCAGAAAAGAGCGTCTAGATTGGCATGGACGCTTTTCCGCAAAAAAGCCCCGATCACCATTTTCGCGATCGGGGCTTTTTTGCGCAAAACAAATCTGAGCTGTCTACACTGGCCCTTTTGCTCAAAAGCTTTGCACAAAAGGACTTTTGCCCAAACAGGAGCAGCATAGTATTTCCGCAAGAAGCACTGAATTCAGACAGTAGGAAGTCTGTGTTCTTGCGGAAATTCAAGCGGCCAGTGTAGACAGCTGGCAAGTTTCTGCTGCTTTTGCGGAAAAACTTGCCAGTCTAGACACAACCGTTGGCTATAGTAAACATAACCAACTGTCATAAATTGGGCTGCTTTAACTTAAATAGGAAACTAGGGTCCATAACCATGCCCTTTACATGCCCTTCACAGTATTTTAGGCCACTTTCACAAACTAAGAATTCTCTCAAACATAGCTATAGTACCACATATGAATAAAACTTTCAAACTATCCACTTCATTAGTAATTAGATTCTCCCACTCTGCAATACAGATCATCTTTTTAAGCAGAGTGTGTAATAGGTGGATGCAAGCGCAGGAATTGTGTGCCACTCTGCATTTACATGTGGTACATGTAGAAAGAAGGAAATTGGGGGCAACTCAGCTCCTGTTGATTCACTGACACCTAAACATGGATGAGAGGATTTGGCTGCAATTTGGATTCCTGCCAGGATCTCTCTCAGTCTGGCATGTAGCGAAGATGTTACCCTGGCGTGCATGTTTGTGTCTCTGCATCAATCAGCTGTGACTACTAACAATGCCAATACAGGAAAGAGAGTAAAAAAGCAACAAAAATAACAAAAGCCCACAGCCCAGGATAAAACCCCCTGACTCTTGGAGACTTTCAAAAGTCACAATCCAAATTTCATACGTGTTCCCAAACTTTCTAACAGCCCTAATTAAAAACCATGATCCAAATAGCCATCAGCAATATAGGCCATATCCCAAGCTCATGTTAATAAACATCGCTCTATTTACTAAAACAGAACTACACTTATTTATATAAACTGAAGATCAGGCCTGAGAGAGTTAGAATTGGCAGACCATTTGCTGTTGATAGAGATTTTTGCAGTCTATTTAACTTTTAAAAGAATCAAAGGAATATCATGGCACTGTATATACAATTAAAATTGCCTATGTTGTATGTCAGTAATCAATGCAGTACTGGACTAGAAAATTAAATGACAATACTTTTGGTTTGAAGAAAATTAATTGACAGTACTTTTATTAGTGGTAATATTTTAGTTTAAAGTGGTAATATTTTAGTTTCTATATCTATACTCATACCCAGACACTGTACTTTAAGCATAGAATACTTAATATGGTTGTTATTGGTATATGTGTGTGTAACCGCCATGGGGCGGATTTGAATGGGACTTCTGAAGTGGAGCATAGGATCCTCTATCCTCTGAGCTAAAAGCCAGCTGCCTCCTAGCCCATGCTATAGAGGTCTCTTGAGCTTAATTGTTGCTGTGGTCTAGGTACCACTTGCACTGCTCAGTAACCACACTAGGGGTATGTCTAGACTACATGCATCTGCCAACAGAGGCATGTAAACTAGGCTACCGGACATAGTCAAAGAAGCCGGGATTTAAATATCCCCGGCTTCATTAAAATAAACATGGCTGCTGCACTGTGCCAGCTCAGCTGATCATCGGCACAGCGTGGTAGTCAAGATGTGGATCGGTCGACAGGGGAATCCTTTGTCGACTGCTCCTGTAAACCTTGTTTCACGAGGCATAAGGGAGTGGTCAACAAAGGCTTCCTCTGTCAACCGATCCACGTCTTGACTGCTGTGCTGTGCCGACGATCAGCTGAGTTGGCACAGCACAGTGGCCATGTTTATTTTAATGAAGCCAGGGATATTTAATTCTCGGCTTCTCTGACTATGTCGGGTAGCCTAGTTTACATGCCTCTGTCAGTAGAGGCATGTAGTCTAGACATACCCTAGGTGTGTGGGTTACATTTGCATTGCTTAAATGTGAAATATTAAATTGGAAATAGGGAAACTCTGAGGTTGGAGGTAAGATTTAATTTACACTGTCAAATAAATATGTAGCATGACTTTTGTTCCTTCTTGCTAGAAGTGCAGAGGACATCAGAGTTGTTTATGCAATTTGCGTGTGTGTGTGTGTGTGTGTGTGTGTGTGTGTGTGTGTACGGCTAAATTTTCCCTTAATACATATTTCCTGTTAAGATTTACAGTGAATTTTTCAGGCAGGAAAATTTAACTGCATGTTTCGAACACAGATAGAATCAATACTGGTATCTTGTATACATGCCTTACTTCCACAATTGAAAAAAAAACCCACATTGTGTCTATGTAATTACCTTTCATTTGTACAAGTATGACAGTAGATTTGGGATCACAATTTATTGTCACAAAGAATTTAAGTTGGCATTATGCCCAGTCTTCATCTACTCAGTCTGAACATTTTTCCTCTATACTCTGTAAAGTAAAGGAAAAGAGCAAGGGAGAAAAAAATTACTTAGCAAGTGCACTCATTGCTTATAGCATGCTTCTTAATTCAGAGATTATTGAAGTAATCAATAATATTTATTAAAAAAAACTTAAAAACAAGGCAAGTGAGGAGACCAAAACAATAAAACATTGAAAACCTATAGAAGTCTTTGGGTGCATCAAGACTAGCAAGATTGGCTTTTGTGCAAAACTTGCCAGCTGTATACACTGGCCGCTTGAATTTGCGCAAGAGCACTGACATTCTACTGTCCGAAATCAGTGCTTCTCGCGCAAATACTCTGATGCTCCCGTTCAGGAAAAAGCCCTTGTGCGCAAATGTTTTTGCGCAAGAGGGCCAGTGTAGACAGGCAGCTAATATGTTTTGTGCAAAAGCAGGCTAAATGGAAAAAAGCCCTAGTGGCCGTTGGAGGCTCCATAGCTGCAGACAGCTCCCGGACTTCCTGGTAACCCGAGCCCCCTTAAGGCAGATGCAGCCTGCAGAGACCACAAGGTAGATGCACCTTTGCCACGCTCTGCTGAGAGCTGTGCCACATGGCCCCTGCCATCCCCAACGCCACCCAGAGCACGATGGCAGCTCCAGGGGGAGATCAACCACCTGCACCCCCAGCGCAGGAGGCCTCAGGGGGCAGAAAAAGAAGGGCCCCGTCCTGGTTCTTGGGGGAGCTGGAGGCCCTACTGGACCTCTGGTAGGAGGAGGGGGCCCTGCACAGCACCCACTCCCGGCGCTGGAACACGGACATATTTCACCTCATGGCCCAGGCGCTCGCCCAGCAGGGCTATCCAGCTCGGACCCTGGAGCCAGTCAGGGCTAAAGTAAAAGAGCTGCGCCTGGGTTATGTCTGGGCCAGCGAGGGCCAAGGGGCAGGAGCCAACACCTGCCCCCACTACCAACGGCTCCACCGCTCTTGGGGGAGCTGGAGGCCCTACTGGACCTCTGGTAGGAGGAGGGGGCCCTGCACAGCACCCACTCCCGGCGCTGGAACACGGACATATTTCACCTCATGGCCCAGGCGCTCGCCCAGCAGGGCTATCCAGCTCGGACCCTGGAGCCAGTCAGGGCTAAAGTAAAAGAGCTGCGCCTGGGTTATGTCTGGGCCAGCGAGGGCCAAGGGGCAGGAGCCAACACCTGCCCCCACTACCAACGGCTCCACCGCATCATGGGCCAGCCAGCACCGGGCCAGCACTGTCACCCTGCAGGCCCCCTCTGGCAGCCCCGACATCTCCCGTGCATCCTTGGAGGCCGGGGAAGGATCCACTGGTGGGGGGAGGGAGGCGGAAGAAGGGGTACAGCAGGGGTACATACCTCCTCTTCAAAATGGTTCCAGGCTTCTGCTTTTGTGCAAAAGCGTCTCACCAATGTAGACACACTTTTGCACAAAAGCTCATTGTTGTAATGATAACTCCAGGACCAATCTAGATGCGCTTTAGCACAAATACTTTTAACGGTAAAACTTTTCCGTTAAAAGTATTTCCGCAAAATCATGCCAGTCTAGACACAGCCTTTAAGTTTAAGGGGTTCTTTTTGATCCATTTAATAAGAATTTCTAACTAATAACTAGCACTTTCATAATAGCATTTTTTGTCCAGAGATCTTAAAGGCCTATTGTGTTAGCGAAGAAGCCTATGAGTTTGGCAGGAAATGCTATCTGCACTAGGCTAGGGATTGAGTGTGTAACTCACCATGTTCTGTCAGTCAAGATAGTGGCAACACCCATATCACCATCACAAGTGTTGACCCTCATAGCAATGGGTTACAAGCCGGCATCTCATCACTTTTCCTCAGGTCGCAAAACACAAGCACCACCAGGACATGACAGGAGGTCAGGACCCTGTTCCCTTCTGAGCCTTCACCATGACACCATTCACGATCCTTACTATGAACAAGGGGCTCACCACTGTCACTGTCCTTATCACAAATTCAGTGCCTACCATGTGGATACAGGCAATATGTTCTCCTCACAACACTCCTCCTCAGATAGGGCGCACACACACACACACACATTATAGGGCATACAGACCACCCAATTACCAATATCCTCCATGGCACACTGATTGGCAATACTATGACACTCATCACAGCCGATGGTCCCCCTATCATTACTGGGCACCACAACACACCTCCACTGTACAATCTACACCCGCACAAAGGTCACTGCCCTCCATGCACTCAGATGCAGCACATTCCCCATCTGAGGGCACGGATCTAGAGGAAGGACAGATCGAGGATGACCCAACCATCCACTGATTTGATATTGCACCCAATGATAATTCATCCTCTGCTCCTGATTAAGTGGTTATTCCAAATGATCCAACACCTACTGATGATATTAAGCAGTTCCAGGACCTAATTAAAAGGGTGGCTACCAGTCAGGAGGCAGTTTTATCAGTGGTTCAGGAGAAACACCACAATCTCCTAAAGAATTTACAGCTCTCTGCAATATCCAAAATTGCACTGCCTCTAGACGAAGCAATCTTTGAGGCAGCTGATGAAGTCTGGCAAACACCTGCCACAGCCCCTCCAACTAATAAAAGGGCTGATAGGAAGTATTTTGTGCCATCTAAAGGTACGGCCTTTCTCTATCTGAACCCTCAGCCAAACTGCTTCATGGTTGATGCTGCCAATCAAAGGTCCAAGAACCCACAACATAAAACACATACACAGGAAAAGGACCACAAACGCCTCTATGTGTTTGGAAGAAAAGTGTACTCTTCATCAACCCTCCAGCTATGCATAGCTAACTATACAGCAATGCTTGCTAATCATGATTTCAACAATTACACGAAATTAACAGAACTGATGCAGAATCTTAAGGAGGGTCACACTATCTCCCATATGGTACTGCAAATGGCCCTGGATGCCACAGAAACTGTGGCTAGGTCCACCACGACATCTGTGGTGATGAGATGTTCAACTTGGCTCCAGGCCAAAGTAGAGGACCTGCCATTTGATAAAGCACAATTGTTTGCTGCAGGTACCAGTGAATCACTGCATTTGAGCAAAGATTTGTGCACTACCCTACGCACATTGGGGATGTATACTCCCCCTTACCGAAAAAAGCGCTACACATCCTATTGAAGACACAGGGACACAACCTTCACTAGACAACACCAATACCAACCCTTTGAGCAAAACCACTTCAGACCTCGAAACCAACTAGAAAGAAACAC